ACTCGATTTTAGCAAGTGGTCTATATAAGAGGGATGAAAGATTGAAAAAAATATGTTAGTATATTTGTGTGAACGTGCTCGCCGTTTATGTGGCGTAAAAATACATCAGTAATTTTTTGTGCAGTATTAATTATTACATCATACACATGATCTACAAATGAAATGCAGTATCTCATTATTTTATAATGCTGCGCACGGATTCATTTCTGTGACCACGCCTGCTGACTTTCCTATTTTGGAGACGGGTAACAGATTATATTAGTAAATGTTCATCGTTTCTGTTTACTCCGGTTTTTTCCCATATAACTGTCTTATTGATCAAATCAGCATAAATACCGCTTTGCTTGAAATAATGAGCAATATACAAAACATGGAATCTTTGAAAATGTTAACCGACTTTGTGATCGCGATTTTAACGGTGGGATTTTTTGTTTTAATAGGTATAGTTTTTTCTTATCGTCCTTGTATCATCCGAAATTCTGTTTTAAAATCGCTCATACAATTCTTCGTCTCAATAATATTAGCATGGTTTCTATTATGGAAATTTATTTTAAGTCAAATAAATCTTGTCCGTGAACTTGCCGGTCTTCCAAAACTTTCCAAACCTTCCTCTCAACAGTTAAAACAAAGGAAACGTCAATCGATACATTCATATTCCGATTCACCAGTATACCAACATGACAGTAGGCGGAATTCTTCATATTCGCAAAATAGTAGGCGTGAATCTCTTGCATCGCAACGTTCGCAACGGTACAAACCACGACGTTCATCATCCACTTCTTCAAGATCATCTCGTGATCAAGCCAGGATGCCGACCTCGCCTGCATCACCCACATCGCCGACTTTATTCTCGAATAGGTCATCTTTCAGCTCAAATGTTTCCATTATTAATGATGATTATTTTTCCGAGAGTGTTCCGATGCACCGAAAAATCAGCTCTTCCTCAGTGTCGACAACTTTAAATGAGGATAACGAATCATGTAATAGAAGTTTTAGCAGTAAATCTCAAAAGGAAGGAAACATTCTACTTTTCAAAGAAGATTATATCTAATAGTAATTGGTGATTAGAAAGATAATATCAATGTAGTTTATTTGAACAATCGTTAGGATTACCTTTTTCCTTTAGGGGAAGCTAATTTTAATCATGTATAATAATGTCAAAAAAAAAACTATTTTCTAGTGTATTAGGTAATTTTAATCTTAATTATTCCTTGTACAGTGCATTTATTCAAAAATTCTGTCTATT